ATTATGAGAGCCCCCCTCCTTGATTATGAGACATAAACATATATTTATAATGTAAACCTAGGTCAATTAGCCGGCTTTCTAGTCCTAATGGGCTTAGGTTTAGGCTTTAATTTAATTCTAAGTGGGCTGAATTAATTTGGGCTTTTCTTTAATTAAGCATAATGGGCTAATTTAAGCTCAAATTAAGACAACCAAGCCCTTTTGTGTGTGATTTTCGGCCCATGCTTTCCGAGTGAGCCGAGTCTCGTTCGGTGCCCGAGCTCGATTTACGTGATGAATTTTAAGCTCGCTTACCACCGCCGATCCGATGCGAAATGCAGTTAATCTATATGAACCTAAACTTTATGCTATGCGATTTGTAATATTTTTGTTCAAGGATTAAAATTTAATCCCTAATTTTCTATGCAATTAATCACTAAATGATGCGCCGAAATTTAGGTGTCAACATCAGATTCTTGGCAATCTAACAAGATCCTTAAGAGTGCCAATTATCAAACCAAAATGATATAGCTTACCCATTCCCCAAAATGGTTAGTAAGATCATTTAGCTCCATCTTAGTTAAATAGCTTAACTAGCCGAAGCCTAAAGAGTATATAAGAGCCCATTCAGGTGTTTGCAAGCCCATGATGGTTCAGCCTATGTCCACCAGGACTCCAATCTTGATTGCTTCTCGACCCCTTGTTTCAACATTCCACTCAGACATTCTTAGATCCGACCAAGCCAAGAGTACAATCTGTGGAACTTGGATCTTCTCGATCTGACCAAGGTTGTCTTACTCTACTATCTAATCTCTTTGACATCATACATTAACCTTGAAAAATGAATTTTGATGTTCATGATGCATTTTACAGCTGATGGGTAATTGATTATCTGGGTAGTAAAGTTGAGTCAATATTCAAGATTTTATTAGTGCTAACTTGTGGGATAGATATCCTTTGTAGTGCTCGGACTTTGGTGAGATGTATAGCTCAGTTTTTTCGGTGAATTTCAAATGCGAGAATCGGAGTCCAATGCAGCCCCATGATCATGCCACATTAGTCATTTTGGGGACTTTCGTTTACTAATTTCATGATGAAATAAAGTTGTCAGATGAGTAATATCCTAGTCAGAGTTCATCAATTTGTTGAAAAAAGTATAAAGATCGCTTCACTTTATAATTGAAATCAAAGTACAATAACTCAAATTGCAGACTGCATCGAAGTACAGTGACCATGAAAAGAACCTAAATTCAATGCACATTCCAAAAAATGCCATTCTCACCTTACACACCATGGAGTCGAGAGTTCGAGCCAGGACACCGTCACGAGCATGTTCTCAACATGGAACTCGAGTTAGAGGAATGATTTGTTCTCGGGAAAAAAAAAGTGAGATCTCATGCAAAAGCTGCAATGTTCATTTCATGACAACTCGATTTATCTCCATCTCTTATTAAGAACATTCTTGATGTTCACTGTAATCCCACGTTGCTTAAATACGCTATTATAACAAGCCCCCTTCCACCTAAATGTTTGAACTTTTAGGTCCGTTGTTTGGCGGAAAATATTCTCCCGGAAAATATTTTCCGGGTCATCCGGTGTTCGGGGCAGAAAACGTTTTCCGTGGGAAAATATTTTCCTTCCCCTCACAAAATATTTAAGTTTACGGAAAATGACTTCCGCTTCTTCAAAAGCGGAAATCATTTTCCGGAGCTTCTTCTTCTTCTTCTTCTTCACTAAGGTTGCATGGCATGCCGCGCCGCAGCCGCCGCCGCCGCCGCCGGACGCCGGACGTTGGTCATCGGTCGCCGGTCGCCGCGCCGCCCGCCGTCGGTCGCCGGCGAAAAATATTTTCCGAAACTTTTTCATATTGGTCACGAACACGAAAAATTATTTTTCGGGAAAATATTTTTCAGGAAAATAACTTAGGAAAATATTTTCCAAAAGAATAATATTTTTCGCCAAAATGAACGGCCTTAGATCGGACATTCTCGCATTTACAATTGGATTTTTTTGTGAGCTAGGCATTTAGTATACAATCGACACAAATCTGACGGCCGAATGGATGGCACAGCAGAAGGACATAGTACTATGATACCCCTCGATATAATTAACTCTCTCTCTCTCTCTCCTTTTCGAAGCTGAAGTTGGGGAGGATACAACTCAAAAGGAATTTGGTGCAAACAACCATGCATTCCAAACTTACAAGCACCAATGTACACACATCTCTCTCTCTCTCTCAGCAGAGTATATTCTTTTGGAGACTTTGGACGGATACAAAAGTCACCACTCCCATTTAGAAAGAGAGGGGGCAAAGACAGGACAGCAAAAGAGAATCCGAAAGCTTGCATGTGCAATCGCATGTGGGTGTTTCTGTACCTTAAAAAAACAACAAAAACAACAAAAGAGGAAGAAAACACATGCATGCACTCCAAACCCTTTCATCGATCCCCTCCCCCTTTTCATTACATTATCATCATCATCATCATCATTATTATCTTAGAATAGAATAATTAGCTATTTTTTTGTCAGCTATGAGCTATTTCCACATAGAACTGGTGAGGCCACGCTGGACCTTACTATAAAAAAAAGGAACGTCCCACCCACCTCAATCATTGATGCAAAGAAAGCAGACACATGTGCCAAACCCTTCTTTATTTTAGGGCGTTTTCTCTGCCCATGATGAAAACATTCGACTATGACCTCAACCGGTGTCCCACCAAAGCGTTTACAAACAATAATTGATGACACAATACATCGAATGATCAGTAAAAACACTATCGATGACTTGACTATGACCTTGTAATTCATTAATCAATCAAAGGCTACCCTAACATCACTTCCACTGTAGGTTTGCAGAGCGGGAGAATGAGGACTTTTACCTTGATCTCATTGTATATTTGACTAATGGTCCTAAAATTACGATTTCATATATGACAAATCTGAAAACACTACATTTCCTGAAGAATCGCATCCAAGACAATGGGGAAAAAACTAAACAGAAAATCTTCAAAAAAGATTGAATTTTGTTAAATTGCAAAGTCACCCCAAAGGGGGCTCTTGTAAAATATATATAAAAAAAGAAAAAGAAACAGAGAATCTGAAAGCTGTCTAAACGATTCGAATTTCACTATACATGTTGACAAAATCTAAAACGGACAAATTAAGTTCATAGAAAAAAGAAGATGTCATACAAAAGATACCAAAATAAAGTGGCGAAATTGATAAGTTATGTTTTTCCTAATGGGAGTACTAGAAGTGGCTTTGTTAACTCTAGTTGCAGACATTTCCATCGACAGGCCCAAGCAACTTCCTTGCAAGCAGCAACATCATATGCTTTGCTGCCATTTGCAGTGGGCATTTGAGTCAGGAAGTTGTCTCTTTTCCATTACAGCTGAAGTGAAGGCCATTTACTTACCCGAGTACTGGTTAACATGGATCGAATCCATCATGACCGTTGATCAAGTGAGGCTGGTGGGTTCGTGTCCAGGCGAGACATGCACGAACGAAGAGCAGTTAAAGACTCGTGCTGATCCTGGATGCATTATGCAATCATCATATTATCGAAGATTATAAATCAGTTCCATGATATAGTGTACAGGGGAAATGGAGATCAAATCAGGCTCAAATTTGTTATTGTGCACCGGTTGGATAATCGTTGTATTTGGACTATTGCAATGGCCTTTTGCAAATCCTAACACTCCCCAGGGCATCACATAATTAAAAAAGGCTCCTGGAGATTTTTAATTAACGTTAAATTACATTTTTAGGAACGACAAATAAATATGAGAGAGGGCGACTAACTAGTGCTATAGCTTCACCCTTTGGACAGTACTAGTCATGTGTGTGCCCCAGAGTCTCGGTTCAATAATTCATATCTAAATTTTTAGGAGGGAATGATTATTAAAAAAGTCATAAACATATTTTACGGATGTTGATTCAGTTCTAAATTTTTCAATTTGATCAATTTAGTCCTAAATCTTTCGATTATTTTCCAATGTAGGACTTTCGTCCAATTTTGAATGGAAATTGCTTACATGAACGCCATCTGTCCTATGTGGCACAATTGATTTGGCGTTGACGGACAATTTTTGTAATTTTTCTGAATTTTTTAAATTCTTTTATTTGTTTTTTTTTCTCTACCGAACCGGCGAAGGCTTTGTGGCCCTCGCCCAGGGACTGGCAACTCGCCAGCCCACATTGTGGAAACAAACAAAAGAAAAGAAAAGAAAAGATTAAACGTTTATAAATTTTAAAAAAATTGCAAAAATTGTCCGTGTAAGCGATTTTTGTTCAAAATTGGTCAGAAAGACTGCATTGGCAAATCGTCAAAAAGTTTAGGACTAAATTGGCATTCGTACAATAGATTTAATACTTTCTTTAAAAAAAAAATTTCCTGTAAGTTGAATGCAATGATTAAACTAATAATGTTTCTTTAATTCATCCCATTTAATGGGTCCTCCCTTAGACCCCCCAAAAAATAAAGAAAGATAGAAAGAAATGACGCAACAGAGCACACCATGAAGAATGTAGGTTTGCCCCCTCCACGTATTCCCCCCACCGCAAATTGCTCAGCGAATCGCCCCGCCGTGGCCTCGTCGTGCAACATTTTGCCTTACACGGACCACATAAGATCAACAGTTTTTCGAAACAAACCATACATAAGCTATGGATAGTGTAATTAGACCGACCATTTATTTCTTCGAAAGCCTAAACTTATAGGAAAGGGACCGACGATGCACATATAACATGTTAATTAACAGGAGGAGATGGTCAGATCACATCAGCATCGAGGTCTCGAGACGGGCCGACGCAAGCAATGACCTTCTCTGTATCGGGTTGCACGAGTCATTGGCTAATTACTGAAGAAAGAGAGAGATTTTACCGTGCGAACGAGTCCCGGGGAATCATGATTTGAAACGTCGTGAATTCTACTGCAATCTGTCGTCCACGTCAACGAAGAAGCTTATAGTATAAGAGTAAATCAAGTCGCGTCCGATTAATAAGAAAAAAGAGAACAAAAAACGATGGAGATGGACATGACTCACGGGTCAACAAAAGACAAAACGAGGTGGAAAAAGAAAAAAATGGGCGATGATGATCGTGGCTTGGTCCAATTCACACAGCGATTCGCTTTTCCCCAGTCCCTGATTCCGATCGCGTTTTGATCTTTCTTCACTTCAATGTTGAATATCCCGTGTACTTAGAAACTTTCATTGAATACCCTCTCCAGGTTTCGATCAATCTTGATGTCTCTTTGATTTTCTTGCAGTGGCGCGTAGCTCGCCCCATGTTTATTCAACCACTTTCGAATCGAAAGTATTCTGCATCATCCCTTTGAATCCCAAATCTCGAAGTACCCTGTTTTCCGTGAACTTTGCAGTGTCATTTTAAATTCGCCATTTGAGGTGATCAACGTGAATCTCAACTCATATAATAGTACTGAACAAGTCAGGACACAGAAAGAGAGAAAAAGAGCGTTTGTCATCATCTTTCACGTCCACTCACTCGCTGCCCACCAGCAGTTCCTCCTTTTTCCAGGGTCACCCCTCCTACGATTCTGTGTCGCACTGTGTCTGTTTTCTTCGTCTTCTTGTTCCAGCTCTCGCATGTAAGTCGAGAAAAGACCACTCCATCGTTGATATTTGCAGGACCGGGAGCTTAAAATGGCAAAGCTGGTGGTGGAAGTACTTGATGCGAGTGATCTCGTGCCCAAAGATGGGAAAGGCTCGGCCAATACATACGTGGAAGTAGAGTTTGATGAGCAGCTTCAGAGGACTCAGGCCAAGCCAGGAGACCTCAACCCCCAGTGGAACGAGAAGCTTCTCTTCAATGTGACCAGCCCCACGCAGCTTCCCAACACCACCATCGAGATCGCGGTGTACAATGACAAGAGAGGCGGCGGACACCACAAGCACTTCCTAGGCTGGGTCAAGATCTCTGGGGGCTCCGTCCCGTGGTCTGAGTCGCAGGCATTTGTCCAGAGGTACCCGCTCGACAAGCGGGGCCTCTTTTTGCACATCAGGGGCGACTTGGCACTCAGGATCTACGCAATTCAGGGCTTTTCTGATCCGTTTATGGCGAATGGCGCAGCTTTTGAAGATGCAGAGAGTCCCCCGCAAGAGGTGAACACCGACAATCTTGAGGGTGATCAGGATTTGGGGGGCAAGCATAAGAAGAAAAAGAAGAAGGAGAAAGAGTCGAGGACATTTTATTCCATCGGGAATGCCACAGGTGGTCCTGCCAATTATCCTCCTGTGGCCTCAGGATTTGCATTTCAGACACATCAGATGATGGAAAATGCACCACCCAACATGCAAATGAGGGCTGATTTTGCCAGAGCACCAGCAGCTCCAGCAACTGTGATGCACATGCAGATGCCGAGGCAGAACCCAGGGTTTGGGATGGTGGAGACCCGGCCTTCGATCGCAGCCTGGATGCGATTCAGAGGAGGGGACAAGATGGTGAGTACTTGTGACCTGGTAGAGCAGATGCATTTTCTGTATGTGAGTGTGGTTAAGGCCAAGGACCTTCCTGTCATGGATATTTCAGGGAGCCTTGACCCATATGTGGAGGTGAAGCTAGGGAACTACAAAGGGGTGACCAAGCACTTGGAGAAGAACCAAAACCCAGTGTGGAAACAGACTTTCGCTTTCTCGAGGGAGCGGATGCAGTCGCATATCCTGGAAATCGCTATAAAGGACAAGGATGTTGGGAAGGATGATTTTGTGGGGAGGGTCGTCCTCGATACCCATGAAGTGCCTTATCGAGTGCCGCCTGATAGCCCGTTGGCGCCTCAGTGGTACAAACTGGAGACCAAGAAAGGAGAGAGGGGCAAAGGAGAGATCATGCTCGCGGTTTGGATGGGGACGCAGGCGGATGAGTCGTTTCCTGAAGCGTGGCACTCCGATGCCCACAATGTGAGCCATGTAAACCTCTCCAACACTAGATCGAAGGTCTATTTCTCGCCGAAGCTGTACTACCTCCGAGTCCACATCATTGGGGCTCAGGATCTCGTCCCCTCCGACAAAGGCCAGGCGCCGGACACATATGTGAAGGTGCAGCTTGGGAATCAGCTCCGTATCACTAGGCCTTCCCAGATGAAGACCATCAATCCGGTCTGGAATGATGAGCTAATGTTTGTCGCGTCAGAGCCTTTCGAGGAGTATATCATTATTTCAGTTGACGAAAGGGTGGGACCTGGAAAGGACGAGACGTTGGGGAGGCTGATAATGCCGGTTAGAAATGTTCCTCAGAGGTTAGATACTGCAAAGATCCCGGACAGTTGGTTCAACCTTCTCCCACCATCCAAGGCCGATGACGCGGAGAAGAAGAAGGAAGTAAAGTTTTCGAGCAAGATTTGCATCCGGTTTTGCCTGGATTCGGGGTATCATGCCCTCGACGAATCAACACATTTCAGTAGCAATCTTCAGCCCTCATCGAAGCATCTGAGAAAGCCGAGCATCGGATTTCTTGAACTTGGGATACGGAGCGCCAGGAATTTGCTCCCCATGAAGGGAAAGGATGGCAAGATCACCGATGCCTATTGTGTGGCTAAGTATGGGAACAAATGGGCTAGAACCCGAACGCTCCTTGACACGCTGGCTCCGAGGTGGCATGAGAAGTACACGTGGGAAGTATTCGATCCCTGCACAGTGATTACCATCGGCGTCTTTGACAACTGCCACATCAACGGAAAAGATGAAGCGGAAGACCAGAGGATTGGGAAGGTTAGAATCCGACTCTCTACACTGGAGACCGACCGGATGTACATCCATTGCTATCCCCTCCTGGTCCTGCAACCCTCCGGCTTACAGAAACGCGGAGAGCTCGAATTGGCGGTGCGATTCACTTGCACGGCTTGGATCAACATGGTGACTCAGTATGGCAAGCCATTGCTCCCGAAAATGCATTACGTGCAACCGATACCTGTTAGGTACATCGATGGGCTCCGCCGCCAAGCGATGCAGATCGTGTCAGCGAGGCTGTCGCGAGCCGAGCCACCTCTTAGGAGGGAGGTCGTTGAATACATGCTAGACGTGGACGACCACATGTTTAGTCTGAGGAGGAGCAAGGCCAATTTTCACCGCATAATGTCGCTTCTTTCCGGGATAACAGCAATTTGCCAATGGTACAGTCAAATATGCTACTGGAGAAATCCGGTCACCACCTGTCTTGTCCACGTGCTTTTCTTGATACTGGTTTGCTACCCGGAGCTGATCTTGCCCACGATTTTTCTTTATCTTTTCGTGGTCGGGATATGGAACTATCGGTTCAGGCCGAGGCACCCGCCCTATATGGATGCTCGGCTTTCGCAGGCAGAGTTTACTAATCCAGATGAGCTGGATGAGGAATTCGATACTTTTCCATCAACAAAGCCAGCAGATATTGTGAAATTTAGGTATGATCGCCTCAGGAGTGTTGCAGGAAGAGTGCAGACAGTGGTAGGAGATTTAGCAACGCAAGGAGAAAGAGCTCAGGCTTTACTGAGCTGGCGGGATCCGAGAGCGACAGCTATAGTAATCATTTTCGTGCTGATCTTGGCCATCGTCCTGTATGTTACGCCATTTCAGGTAGTGGCAATACTGGCGGGACTCTACTCGCTAAGACATCCCCGTTTCAGGACCAAGATGCCCTCTGTGCCGGTGAATTTCTTCAAGAGATTGCCTGCCAAGTCCGATATGCTTCTATGAGATCAAAGATTGTTTGCGGTTCACTTCCTCTTAGTCATGATTTTGTAAATTGGAAGTGATCAAGTGAATGAACCCTGCATTAACACCACTTCAGGAGGGAAGAACAGAGTGTAACACCCTTCACTAGAGTAACTTATCACATGCATCAGATTTCTCTCTTGAAATGGAAATTTAATCTCGTGCATAACTCAGCATTCTCCTTCAATTGAGATGGTTTTCGTACTCGTTCAGCTCAGCATAGTAAAGTTCAGCGTTAACAGAAGCCCCAACAATCGATACCTGTTTTTGGTTCTAAGAATGAATTTACAGATTATGTCAGAGTCCTTCAAATTTTTTCGCGTAAGGTTATCAGGCTAAGGAGGAACCAATGGGAAGCCAAAAAATAGGACATCTGTTATAACGTTAATACAACATAACAAATTATCATGAATAATCCATCATCATGTGTCAATCTTGATCTCTTACGAGAACCCTAAACTGCAAAATCTGCAATGGACACAAATATGAAATTGGTAAAGTGAAAACCAATGTACTTTAATCTATGTCTAAGCTCTGGCTCCAAGATGCATTACTAGAGCAACAATTGTTATTAAGCTCACCAACATTCCACCCAAAAGAGCTCTATCAATGCCACCCCATTCAGCCCTTCTTTTACTGACCAATTCTTGGCTTGAATTATGTCCAGAGACAATTTCGCTTTCTTCTCTTTTCTTCACACGATTCCTTCTTTTCCTCAAAAGCCATCCAATTAAACTAGTATTTTTATCTTCCCGTATGTCGTTCCTAGAAAGAGCAGCTTCCTCCGCAGTTTTCTGTTCACAACAACTTTGTGCGCCACAAGCACAAGGATCAGCCTCTTTTGAACAGGAAGATGCATCACAAGTGGTGGAGCAGGCAGAGGCTTCATCCTGCCAATTTTTGTTGGTTGAAGCTGTCTCTTGATTGACACAGTTCAGAGCCTCAATCACTTCTCCAAAAACCGACCACCTTCCTACCGATGTTATCTTCACAATGGCTGATGTGCCCAGCATGCTATCTGGAGCAACCACGAGTACTTGTATGTAGCCCTCTGTATGGCCAACCTTGCAAAAGGAAAAGGGATCCGATAGGGAACTTTTGATGAGGAATGAAATAGAGGGTAGAGAGCATGCCCAAGAGCTGAGCTCTTCAAACTGAGGCAGATATGAATACTATTTACCTAATAAAAGGCATGTACAATGCATTTTACCCAAAAAGCAACAAAATATGGACGAATAGTCAAATAACCGTTACATATCAAATTCTTTGTGGAGATGGTGGAAGGGATGAAAGAGGTCCAGCATCTAAATTTCGAACTCACCAAATGAATGCCATCTGTTGCAATCTCAGTTATCCATATTCTCTCCACTCTCCCCTCCATGCCACTGTAAGGTGTAAAAGCTTCAAAAACAGAAGTCAGTTCACGGCTCCGTTGCTTCACAACAGTACTAGGTACCTTCTTCATCCTTGCAGCAGGCGTTCCTGTGAGATAAACAAAGCAGAAGAATCGGTCTGTTATTAGAATAATATCTTGCTAAGCAACTGGCAAACAGAAAAGCGCGGTCAGGCTCGCCACAAGGGCAATAAGCATTTTTGTCACAATATTTCATTGTTACATGTATGTACCTACACTTCTCCACTTTACTTGGTGGTATTACTTTCACATAAGACCCCAGATGCAAGATCCTAGAACTTCTACCTGTCTCTTCTCCAAACGCCCAATCCTCCTGACATCACGTCCATCAGGTTGGACTCTGTGACTCAGAGCCTCCAAAGGTTCTTAAGTCACAACAATAAGCATATTGAAAGATCTTTCAGGCATTGCCTCCCACTTAAACTCCACCATGAATACAGTATTCGACCCCAAGTATTAATACAATCCTCCAGTTTTTTACATGGGGATCACGTATAATCCTATGTAAGACTCCATGTGAATGAGTGCAAAAACAGTGATTAAACTCTCATATTCAAGTAATATGATGTTATTTCTTGAATCTTGAACTCAACAGTCTGAGGGAAATTAAAAACAAAACGAATAAGGCATAATGGTGCTTAGTAAATCTAGAAGCACACCTAACAATCATAGAAAAAATATGCATTGCACACTTGTCATACTCAAATATCTACAAAAGTGCAATTATATATCAAGAAGAATTTGAAATTTTTTAATTAATACAACCTACATATTCTGTGTAGTTCACACAGACAAAACTAGGAGCCAATTCCTATTCCCGTTCCTTAGAAGCCGGAGCCCCTCCTGACAACTGTATTTGAGCAGGTCATTCCTCACTCTAGTAACACAGGGTAACTTATAAATTATTGATAAACAATTGCCAGTGGGGAGACCGTAGACTGAACCATGCACATTATATTATTCTTTATTTCCTCAAAATCTGGAAGTGATGCATGGAGGACTTATTTATTTATATGCATAAAAGTAACATGCCTTCCAAGTATACCTGGTCGAGGGTAAAACTGTGATATATGAACTTGAGGGAACTTGTACTCCTTGACAAGACTGATTGTTTCCGAAAAATCTTTATCGGTTTCACCTGAAAAGGTCCAAGGGCGGAGGATTAGCATCTTAATGAAGAGTTGAAGAAAACATGCACACACTTTAACTAAGGTAATGAACCGAACAGTTGAGGACCCTGCTTATAATTGGTTTAGAAGTTTCCCAAGTCACCATGAAATGCTTTTTTAGAGTATTGAAGTGATCCGTTGGTACTCATACCGCATAAGAGAGCTAACTGATTTTAGTTTTTTAATCATTTTATTAAACCAATATTTCTTCACTTGCACAGTCACGCACAGTTATACATCTGCAGATATCGAAGACAAGTTAAATTAAAGATGAAGGAAGAAAAACAAAAGTATCGAGACATTGCATGGCTCTGTATTCAGTTTGTGAGCAATTGCGACTGAGACTTATATCCTTTCAGCGGATTATTTACAGGAGGAAGTTACTGATATCCAGACCTCGATGGGAAGTTACACCAACAAAAGAAATATGACAATGAGGTAATCAAAGGTGCCCCAAGTTCTGACTAATCAAGTCTGCAAAACATATCAGCTGCAGCCTGCTTAGGTAGGTTAGACATGTTTTCAAATCTCACTTTATCAAATCAACTCTTTTCCTTTTGAAATTCCCAACGCCTGAACATCCGTTGAAAGGCTACCAGTTAGTGAGAACAAGAAGAACGCACAACATTTCACCATTCAAAGCGCAGAGCAGATTCACTGGAACTAGAGGCTACTGGACAGTTATTGCATACTAACAATTACATAGAAATTCAACATGTTGAGAATATTTTAAAAAAGAGACTGACCAGGAAATCCACATATGATATCAGTCGCAATCTGCATCCCTGGCACAAGTTCAGTTAAGGTATCTACCACTGTCCTGAACTCACTCACAGTGTATTCTCGGTTCATAGCCTGAATCAAGATGGAAGCCAGTTTCGCATATCACCAGTGCAATTTTTATTTTAAGTAAACAATTGCACCATTGATCCAAGAAAGAAAGAAATAAACATCGTATCACCAACTAGAGAAATGATAATGTACTTGATTAGAATGAGAAGTTTGTAAGCAATAATAGTACTCACAGTAAGGACAGCATCACTCCCTGATTGGACTGGCACATGCAGGAAAGAGTACACACATGGATGACGCAGAACTTCTGCTATCTCTTGTAAATGCTCAAGAATAAAAGGTGGATTCGTCATCCCAACCCGAAGCATGGTGCTTCCGTCAGGTGGAAGTACAGTTACAATGGCTTTCAGTAAAGTGGGAAGATTAACTCCAATATCACGACCTACAAAAACTCAAGGCCCAGAGACACTTAACAGACACACCGGCAGCATTTCGTCAAGTCACACCCAAAAGATGGCCTAAAGCTACTCTGGCTAGATGAACTTATTAAATAAAGGAAATAAAGTGTCTATTAGATGTATATACTCCTATCTTCTCCATAAAAATTACCGAAGACTGCTTAGACTGCAGATGCACTACATCAATAAGAGTTCTGTATAAGAAGATGGATTGCAACATGTTTTTCCTCTTATCAACTAAAATATCAAACAAGAAGTTTGTCATCAATATAAAAAAACCACCACAAGAAGAATAGACACTAAAGTTCTTTGCACACCAATCCACTTTCAAGGTGAGTACTGGATTATAAGATACATTACTTTTGACAAGCCCATGTTTTGGCAAAATTGCTGAAACATCCCATTTGTTTTGCAAATTACTCTTACAACCCTAATAAGAATCTATTGGATCAATCAAATTGATTGGTGACTTTAATGCGGATTTTCAATTTAAGTGAACCCAAAAACAAAAACAAAAAAACATGAGGCATGAATCCATGTCACAAGACATTATTACCAAAATGTACGGCACATAATTATGGCTTCCAAGACAACCTTATAGCCTACTTAAACAAGAAAAAGCATACAAAAGTCGCATCATCATGGTTAATCACTTGAGATCAAACAAATTCTGATAGGGTTGATTCTACAACTTTCCGTAACGTGGAACGTCCCTGCTCTTTTGCCATAATAAGGGGTGTGGAAGTAATTTACCCTTACCTATATTGATCCATCAACCAAAAAACCTTTTGAAATTCCTAATCACATTTATCACCAAAAAGGGGATGAAATTTTGAACAAGTATTAGGATGCACGTACTTTTGCAAGTATATGTATGCCAAAAAAGCACAAGGATATCATTGCAACCTACCATATGCCCCAGTATCTTCACTGCTCAACCATATTTCTCTAACTCCATCAGCAATGACAGTTTTTACCCGTCCCACCTGCATCATTAGTAATTTATAAAGCAAAGCAATGATAATTTAAATTTTATAGGTATCTAGTACCCACCAATCATACTTACAAGGCCATCAATCGTATAACTCCCCAAATGACCACGAGCATGCTTTGTTTTACAGTAAGTGCAGGCACCTAAACAACCAACATTTATTGGAAGAATCTCGATAAACTTGTTTTTCCTCACCTGTTACAAAAGAAGTTATGAGTTAAATTCAATTCACAAAGGAAAGGAAATAGGAGCAACAGATTCCGATTGAGGATATCAGAGCTACAAAGCACAAAATGAAGTGCGGAATACAAAGCTTCTATTGTCTTATCCTCAAAGAAACAGTAATTAAGATTGCACTTAAATGTGCAAATTCCACCTTTGGAAGGTCAAGTGTTGGCAATCTCTTACGGTGCAAAAGCCGCACCTCATGCCCCTTGAGAGTCTCTTCTACAACCTCGACAACCCTGTCAATTTGTTGGACGCCAACTATACTCACACCTTCAAGTTCTTTTAAATCACGACTTCCTTGAGGCACACAGCCTGCCACCACCAGTGGCCGCTTTGCACTTTTACATTTTGTTATCAGAGTTTCCATTGCAGACTGACTTGGTGATTTGACTGTGCATCTGGATAAGACAGACAAAGCATAATTCTTATAAAATTCCCACCAAAAATAAGTCCAGAAAAAAATGGACGAACATGGAAAAACTTCAGGATGCCAAAGATGTCAAGTCAATTATTTCTGAGGAAAACATAGCTTAAACAAGAAAATAGAAGTTAGAAGTAATTTAGCGTGCCTGAGTTGATAAGCTCATATGCCCATAAACTTTGACCTAAATAAGAACCCACAGAACTTGATAGGAATTGAAACAAGATGATTCTTACTGAAATTCACACTTCGCAAAGTTCAGGATCATAACTCTATTCCATGTAAACCATCATCAGATTAAAATGTGATGGTCAATCATTTGCTTTGACAAAAATAAGGAAGTTAGACATCAAGAAATTACTTGATGTACAAAGTACACCAAGTGAAGGACTCGAGTGACTAGTAGTTTTATACCATCTTACAGATTCTAACATCACACATAACGTCCAATTTTCTACTTTGAAAAGCTAAACAACCACGTGTATAAGAGAATAACTTGCCTAAAAGTATCCACGTCACAAAATGTTCACATATTACCAAGTTCACTGGTGATGAACTCAATTTCAACTCCAAAAAATTTACAACTTCACTAACAATTGGATCTTCAGTTGTTAACTATGTTCCTAGCACATCAAATTCAGACAATACAAAGAAACAGCAAAACCATTCGGGCAAAAAAGATCAAGGAAATAGGTTCTTTACGTATTTATCAGCCAGAGATCTGCTTCCTCAGGATTGTCACTTAAACAATATCCAAATGCTGACAGCTGACCGGCCATATATTCACTGTCACTCTAGAACAGTCATAAAGTACATTAGAAAACTGCCACGGCTGCTAATTATTTGCAGCAGATTACCTTTTCATAGATTAGCATAACTTCCTCAAATTGAAAATAAAAACGGGGAATCGCTGAATTTTTTCCAGTTTATATGTAGAAGACAACAAAAAATTAACACAACTACAGAATTTCAGTAATCTACTATTTGGTGGGACGAATCTCCAAATCAAGCTCTCTTAAATGGTTGTCAGCAACTACTCAAACCTGCCAATGCCGTGTTAGGCCAATAAAAAACTGCCATTGCAAACAGATCAAACAAACTAATTGCATTGGTTATTGATCATATCGATGCAATTCATCTTAATTAGCCACCATCAAATTTTCCATGACAATTACATAGATAGTGTGGAAAATTCCGACATCTTCACCGCCTCTCTTACATGGTGCTATTCCACAATTTCCAGCACCAAGATTGCTGACCGAACCCTAGACAATCCCCTTTACTGTTTAGCAACCTTCATTGCCCCGATTACGGACCACCAATCCAAAATATTAACTGAAAGGAATCTAGCCATGCGTGCCAAACTCTCAAGCATCGAATTGCCCACATCCCCCCTCTGAAACTATATTCAGGCAGGTCGCCTTTTTTCCCTCATCTAAGAGCAGTTCATACCGAGCAATGAAGGCTCCTCTATCGTCATCTTTCCATTTCACCAGACCCACCACCAGTAGCATCCAAGCATGCCAAAACAAAAAATCGAAGACAGCAAAGCACCGGCATTCCTATTTTTCCCTTTTCCATCCACGAAATTCAATCATCTTCAGTGATGCAGGTCAAATTTGAGCGATGGCTCATCAGCGAATTCTGCAGAACCATCTTCCCCAGAATAACAGACAGACGGCGAAGTACTTGCCTGATTGTGGGAGCATCCGAAAGTCTTGATATATATTGTCTGCGGCAAAAAAGAAGCAGCTCGACTAAGACGAAGAAGAAAAAGATGGCGCGTCGGCGGCGGCGACAGAGAAACAAAAGAAATATTGGGAGGAAGCGATGCGAGGACCTGAGTGCCGGGCACGTTGGAAGGGCGGGCCGCGACTGAATCTTTGACCAGAGAGCGCTTCTCGTCCCCCGACGTATCCGGCCTACTGCGGCCCCTCCGCTTAGGTTTTACCCCGACCGCCGTCAGCGGAAGCCGGAAACCGGGAGGAGCTCCTCCTCCGCCGCCTCCTCCGGCCACCAGATCCTCGATGTCCTCCATTCGCCTCCCGACCTCTTGACCGGAGAGAGAGAGAGATTTAGGTGTGCGCAGCCGTTGGAGGCGTCGACGGACGGAGGAGCCTCGAGAGAGTTTGCCCCCTTCCCTTCTTTCCCTTCGTTCCGCCGCTGCGCAAATGGGTCTTGGATCTGAGCCCGACCCGGATCCAACAGGATTCGGGTCGATCAAATCCAAACTTACAAGACAATAATGGCATTCATTCATCGCCCCTTTTGAAAACCATTCAATCGAAGGTCTAATGTTAAGGTTAACAAAGTACAACTAAAAAAGTCACTAATTTCGCGTGTCGGGATTGACTATGATTTGTTCCCCGTTCCAATTTTGCAGAAGCTCTTTAACCTCTTTTCTTTTTTTCTTTTTTTTCCCCATTTTGGTATATCTAAAAATTTTTACTACGTATAAAAATTGACACGTAAGTCTTGACATCTCACAATTTAAATAGTAATTTTAGATCATCACGGAAGTCTACAGCAAGAGCAACTACAGGTGACAGAGTGAATTACTGCTAGCTATTTTGATGGATGAACTCAAAATACAATTTGGTTTATTGATCTACTTAAGTTTAGACAAAAAAAGTATGACAAGTTATTCAGCTTTACCGTGCTTTTTTTTTTTTTTTACTCCCGAAGGGCCCAAAACCATTATTTTTTTCGTCAGAAAGGGGCCCAAAAATATGAAAAACCAAAAAATTTGGAAAATAATTATTGGTTGCATTTCAAATTAATGGTTTCCAGTTTTTCCCGACCGATTTTTTTTTCTCAATCCAGTGTCATACAAACTCGAAATATTTCCACATATAACTTTATGTATTAATCTTTGAAACTGCTTTGCGAATACCGATATGCAAGAAACACCCACAAAAACGTTTTTTGCAAACTTCTCCCTCGAATATGAATTCGCTCCAATTTCCACCCCCCACCCTTTCAAATTGTTTCATCCAACCCCTCTTTCAGCAAATAAAGAAAGCAAAGGGAAAAATAAAACACGAAAAATTATCGTCAATGGAATCAAGAGAAAAAACTGAAAATAAATTCCTTTATTTTTTCCTAATGATAAGGAAATCCACACGGAAGTATACATGAAATAGCTGATATATATTTTTTTCAGATGACAATCTAAATAATATAAGTGTTGTAAGCAGTCAGTCAGCACTTGAGTGCATATAATATGTAGTCCCTTTCAACCTATACAAGAAGAGGAATATAGAAAGGAAGACATAATTACATGGGACGAGTTTGGAAATGGCTTTCTAAGACCAAGTTAGCGCGCACAAAAAAATTGGCCTTGGTAAATGGCTATATGTACATCGACAGCATAACTTGCGGCGGAACCGTTTTTTCGCGGAATGCCACAACCCATGTAACTACTTCCTTCTCAGATCTTTTACAGTTTCTCGTCGCCGAGTATCCACCTGGTCAAATGGCTCGGGTCTTCGGCGAAGAACTTACATGACGTGGGGATGATTCCAAGATCAGAACCGATTTGATTATACTCTTCGAGCGCTGATGCCATCTCTGCTTCGACAGCTGGGTCATCCACAAGATCGACTCTACCCATTCGCAAAACCTCGGCGTAGTGATTCTCCATCTCGACATCATTTTGGAAGGGATCCGCTGCCAATCCCTACAATTCAAAGGAAAATGAGAAACGAAAAATATAAAGAAAAAGCGGCGCAAGCACTGGGCCTACTTGCCGGTCTATGAACAGTTGCTTTTGAAGTCTTTACCTGACATAATTCTGCATAATGCCTGTAGATCTCGCTTTTCTCGTCTTGATCACCAAGCAGCGTTCCACCATACCAACCATTAGCTTCATTTACAGTTGTCATTTCAAGGTACCTAAAGATCAAAGCTCATTATTAATCAAGAAGTATCAATATTAAGTCGTTTGCATATGCAGACACATGTAAGCTATACATGCAACTAAACAAGCACATATTACTGTCATGTTCTATCATCCCTGAGTTTCCCATGGTATGCAGACACATTCAAGTTGAGTGTCCAAAATTTTCAACTGTAAACCAGTAAGGGGTTTGATCCCTCAATGGGAAGCTATCCGTAACACGCAGGCTTGGATCTCTTTTGCTCTTTTGATTGTTGGATGAAAGGAAGCCCCAATTTAAAGGGAGAAAGAACACACCTCCGCCCTCACCCTGGTTGACGAAGTTATCTACTAGCAGAGTCCTGAGGAAGCTCCAATTTTGGTTTGTTTAAGGATACAAACTGGTTAATTCCAGTCACCTGAGCCAAAATATTCAACCAGGATTTTCTGGTTTCTATACATGAAGATGAAGTTGTTTTGGCTCTAAACGCAGGGAAATGTCTAGGATTCAGCTGGCATTACTTTGAGTTTTGAAGGCTGTGCTTCCTTAGTCCATGGTTTAATGCATTTGACAGGGCATTGAAGTTTTCAGGAAACAGGACAGCCCCTTCTTAGGGTGTCAATCGCTTGTGGTTTTTTGAAGTGCTGGCCAAGGGGAAGCTCTTGGTTCTGGATATGTGAAATCTCAGGGCTCCCCCATTGTTGCTTGAGGTCCAAGATCAATTGAGTAATTATCAAATTGGTAACAGATAAGCATGCATGACACTAAACAAACACAAAATGAAAAACAGCAGCTGCATTCTTATCATAATCACAGTTCAAGTAATAACCACGAATAACCCACACAAAGGAATAAACGCTCACAGAACTTATGTCCATGCAGGTGCCCATGGTAGACTAAACACAAAAGTTAAAAAAGAGAAAGGGGGCACCTTTGGAAAATATCTTCTTCACCAACATCCCCGAGAGAAGATAGCAAACTAAGGTCACATAGAGCATCAGCTCCAGCCTCATCTTGGGATCTTCCTTTCGAAATTTCATTTGAAATAACTTTGGGTGCAGACACGTTTTCCTCATATTTTCGCTGCCCAAAAACCCAATTTGGACTTTTAAGCTGTATCTCACTGCACATAACCAGTTCATTCACCCTGATTAGCATCTACCAGAGTGCCAGTTCTGTGGCATTCTATCTGTAGAACTATTGTCTATGGTACTAATTCCAGCTTGACATTTTGTTATGACCAAAAGTTTATGTCAATGAGAAAGTCGAAGTTGACATCTGAATAAGAAATAACCAAAATTATTGACAAAGTATCCTCGCTTATGAGATACATACGCTGCATCAGGTGCCACACCAGAAGTGCCAGAAGAACCACCTGGACGTTGATCAGGCTCACTGCATAATCTAACATTCTTGATTGAACTGCATGTCTTTGCAATCAATTTATCAAAGGAAGTCAATTTTATCCGAGAGAAGTCTTCCTTGCAAGCAGGAATAGGCGCCAAAGAAATTCCAGCTCTGCCTCCAGGCCCTAGAAAAGCTCTTGGGCTTGCATATTGAAAGCACCACAAAGAAAGAAATTCCAATAAATAAGATCAACAATTCAACTATTCCTGTTGCCAAAAAGTGGATATGAAAAACTGAAATAACAGAAAGCATCAAGAGTAGGTTGGATTAATCTTCTTGTCTTTATAGACATGCATGTAAGGTGTGACATACGTGGACCGGAAACAATATAAAAATTGCCCATATGAGCAAGCCAAATGTGCTCATGTTTTCTGTTAAAAGTAAGCGCTGTTTACTCATAATTTACTTGTGAAATGCAGCCTAGGATTTTCCCCCTTACTTGGGCAAAAGTAACGTAAAGTTCACATTCTAAATATTTTACCTTTCATCAGGAAAAAAGTCATCTCCAATGCCAGAAACGTGAAGATAATAATCAGAGTCCAGCTCCCAAAGAGCTGGTTTTCCTTCTTGTGGCTGGAAATAACCTAAAAATCTGTTCCCAAAAAACCAAAAAACACTGCTTTAAGAAGGCTAAGTTGGGGAAAGAAAAGAATGGCCAAATACTCAGAAACACTGATATTAAGACGGCAAGTCATCAAGAGGTTAATTATTAAAAAAACAGAAGCTTCCTAGAGTTCTAAAGATAAGATGGCAAATGATGCAAAGTAAAAGCCCAATCAGGAAGGATGGAGAATGAACGAAAATTACACTTCTTATCCTCTAGTTTCAAAACCAAAGCTCTGTATCGACTACCCTCTATTTTAGCGAACACTTTGCACCCTCCAGTTTTTATGATTCTCCCAACAATTTCCTGATGGTGTAAGAGTCCGGGGTGTAAATAGGTTTTTCGAAATATTATGTATACAGCGTCATGTCTGGAAACTATTGGGTGCAAAGCGTATGTAAGGGACAGTTAAGGGTCCTTTCTTCAATTGTCCTGAAATAGAAAGAATCATAACATATATGACATATAAAACAAAAATAGAGAAAAGGTGCAGTAAGTACAAGTTGATTGCATCTTGCTTTTCGCTATCAGTGTAGGTATTACTGTAGTATCTTTTGATAGACTTGAGAAACTCTTTGGATTGGGTGGTAGCTTTCCACTTTCCCTGCCTCTCTGTAAACACCTGGAAAAGAAGAATTGGCATCAGTTTTCTACATAGAATGAGAAGGCAATACATGAGCTCGAGCTCATTGATGAGATTCTGCACCAACTTAAAAAGAGACAATTACAGTGTTATGAGCTTCAGAACCACCGTATTGCTGCGCCAGAGCATCACCCATGCTCTGATACATATCCATAAGTGCAGTAGCAATGCTACTGTGAGGATCCAACTTGGGCAAGTCTGTCAAACCCATTACATGAAGTTGGCGGCCTAAAGCTTCCAAACCATAAGCATATTGAGCAACATTTGTGCGATCCAAACAGTCAATGCAGTTGGTACGCAGGACTCCACTTTGGAAACGGGGGTTTTCCCGTCCATAACCGTCTTCCCTGCTATTTTGATTGGACTCAGTCTCTCTATCTCGATTATTTCTGAGAGCTAGATTTTCATTGCTGTTTCCGACACTAGAATGATCCCCCGATTCTGATCTACGATCTCTCAGAGAAGTATCTCTGCGATAAAAGCAATGAGCTGTGAAAAGCAAAGAAGCACACAAGAACCTACACAATTGTTTGAAAAGAAATTTGAAACAGCGACAAGGAAAAGGGTCCTCACAATTAGCTAGTCCATATAAAATCAATTCTACATGTCTAAACAAACCATTTTATGTTTAGCTCTTTAGCCTAGAAAAAATAATTGTAGCGAGAACTAGAGCTACAACTCAATTTTCCAAAAAAGACCAAAGTAAATGGATGCATTAAAGCAGGTATGTCTATACACCTTAATAGTAAACAGAGTATAGTCAAAGCAGCTAGCTATAACAATATAATTCCAGATTCTATTCTTTCAGTAGAGGTATTCACTGATATGGAACCAAGGGGATGCCAACACATTGACAAAATCAAATACAGAAGAAAGAGTCCATTAGGCGGAGAATAGCATTTACATCAAGACTCACTCTGCATGTAAAGCAAAAATTCAACGTAAAAAGCCAAAAACCCCTAATTTTCACATAATGGCTCACTGTTTTATCAAAGATTATCCTGTCTTTTCCCTCTTAATCAGCAAAAAAGTCACCAGAGGTGTGTTGAATTGTGTCGAATTGTGTCTACGCCATTGCAAGTAGCTGTAACGACTACAAACAATGTTGAGAGTCTCAATTGTGCCACCTTTTGTAGTTTCTAATTGCCTAAGTCTTATTCATGAAGGTAACAAGTTTAAAAAGTTATGATTTCTTCACTTTTTCAAGAGTATTGTAATTATGATTTTTATTGAGGGTTTCCTTTAAAGGAGCTTTTTTGCAATTGCCAAGTTTTTGCTTTCTACTGTTATTTAATGAGTCTGAAACAACAAGTTCCCGTTTGAAATCTGATGTATGTGATCCTTTTCTTGGAGGCAACAATTGACATTTGTTTGTGCAAAAAGGTGGTCATGCTAATTTTATGAATTTAACAATATTGTCTGAAATAATTTCTCTGGTTTGTAAAATCTCACAATCTTAGAATTCAATCTGACATTTGAATTTACGGAAACCTGTCAACCCAGTTAAGCAAGTGATTTTAACTATCTTGTCTCTTCCATCCTCAAAGCATTTTACTTATCGCAGAAAAAATATTCAAGAAATACCACACAAAAGTCTTCTAGGTGAACCTTCTTGTTGCAAACAACTATGTTCAAACACAAGTAGCCTAGAGCAATAATTTGCCATCATCTATAAAATCCAAAACCCCATATAACCGTGCTGCATTAAGTTTGCAACTAGCAGTCAGATACGCAAGATAATTACAAAAACCAATGAAGATTAGCAAGCGTAAGTGAAGGGCTTTAATAAAGCCTCTACAGCTCTTCATATTTAAGAAATAGATACCTCCCAATGCTTGGTCGACTTAGTTGATTCACCCTCTTTTTGGGAATGTTAGATCTCCCACTATAGTAAAAGCCCGTCAAATCAAGTGCTTCACTTGCCACGTTACCCAAGACTGCCAAGACATTAGCTGACTTGCTTGAAAAAATCACATTAAAGGACAAGAATTTAATTAGATAACAATTTCGGAATCGCTTCTTATAAACTAAATTGAGAAAATTACAGGCGCATAAACTTATTAGCTTTGTGCACTTTAGTAATAAAACTTTCATTTTGTGCAATAAAATTTGTCAACTTTGGGCAATTAAGTCATTCCATTATCTTTGTGGACAGAAAACACCACATAGCTTTTTTTATTTATTATTTATATCTTATGTGGCCGTTAGTCACAATGACAAAGCACTCTCAACACAAAAACGAAGTCGTTTTCTAGCATCACATCTGAAAATATAAATTTTAACACTTAAAATTTTAACAAATAAGTTTAAAAAAATAAAATTGAAAAGAAAATTTAATCTGAAAATTAAAAAAAGACTGACTATAAAAAATAAATAATAAAAAGATTGCAAGGGTTCTGGCCCATTGGTGGTGGTACCAAACTTGTCAGTGAATCTCACCTGACCAGTGGCGAGGGCCTGCTTGCCCTTACCAGCTTGGTGGTGGCGCTTGGAGTCACCCTCACCATGCCAGCAAGTGTGAGGACTCACGGCCCTTTTTCACTGATGAGGACAAGCAGGCCCTTGCCACAACCTCGACGAAGGGGGCCGGTGGTGCATCCCCAACATTCTCTGCCCCAAGAGATTTTTTATTATTTTGATTTTTGCTTTCGCTTTTGAGTTTGTTTTTTCAGTTATTCTTATTCTCAATTTTTTAACAAAAAAATATTGATGTGGCGTTACAATGACGTCGTTTTGAGTTCAAGGATTGAAAAAGTGAATGAAATAGCCATATATGGTTAAATAATAAAAATGCCACATGGCCTTTTCCATCACTTAAACATGGGCCTAATTCTCTAAAAAACTCAAAAAATAGGTCTAGTCCCAATTCTGCCCCGAACATAACCCCAAACTTTAGATTGAGCCCCAAATTTGCCCCGAACTTTTTTTTGTCTCATAAAACCCCAAACTTTACGTCCAGTCCCAAATCCGCCTTGAATTTTGTTTTTTCTATAAAAAATCACCAACTTTGAATCCATTCTCAAATCTACCCCCTGTGGTCTAGTCCCAACTTGACATGGCATTTCCAAATCGATGACAAATCCACAACAACAATGTGACATGGAAAATTATCTCCAAAATGAATATTTTCTAAGATATGAAAATTAGGGACGAGTAACGACGACCTTTGGACAAAGGGCTAATGGGGGCGGATTTGGGACTATTGTAAAAATTTGTAATGTTTCTATTAGACAAAAAAACTCCAGGGTAAATTTAGGACTGAACCTAAAGTTGAGAGTTTTTTTTTTAGATAAAAAAAGTTCGGGCCAGAATTGGATTGGACCCAACGTTTGGGGTTTTTTCTACACAAAAAAAAGTTTAGGCAGACTTGGGACTAGACCTAAAGTTTGAGGTTTTCTAGGGAATTAGGCCCTCAGAAATGACAAAGTTCACAGAAGAACTCAAGTGCACGAAGTTGACAAATTCTAAGACTTCAATACATGGGCTGAAAGTTTTAGGACTAAAGTGCACGAAGTTGACAAGTTTTAACACTCGCTTACCTCTTTGCGAATTTGTGGAAATCCCAGTGGATTAAGAAAAGATGAATCTCATCTGAAAGGATGTGGTTCAAATACCCAACAGCATTTGTAAACTCACGTCTGAGCATCATTTCCCTAGGCCTTTTCTCAAAAGTCTACATTTTAGCACAGAAACAATATTAGAAAACAGGTGGATTTCATATATTAATATGCACGTTTGAGGGGGGAAAAACATTGAAAAGATCATCATATACAAGCCTCTCTCTCTGTCCCTCTCTCAAAAAAAATAAAATAACAGATACCTCTAAAAGATGACGCATGCACAACTACTTAAAATTGGAAATTTTTATTAATAAAAATCTTTTTCTTCTTTAGAACAATAAAAAATCAGGATGTGTCAACCTTTCATACTTATCCTGTTTGCTTAAGAGATCAGATGTACTTGGACGCCAAAGTAAAACATCAAAAAAAAAAAAACCTATGAAACATAGGAAGGAATGCCAAAGACAAGCCATGCTTCCATGTCATTCACTGCTTTTGTATGTTATTCACAGGAGTTAACATGCAAGCCCCCAGACAAATCAGACATTAAGAAATAAAAACTTGTGAATGACCAAACAGGACGAAGGAAGGGAGCCAGTTCTGCAGAGCAGCAGATTGATGCAGTGTTGAAAAGCTACCACACGAGCAAAGCAATGACATGGAGCAACAAGGGGAAGACAATGAAGCAGCATCGAGAAGCGGGCAACAAATTAAAAGTAAAGATGTGAATTGACTTTCCAAATACAAGATAAACCAAATTTTAGACTCAGTCAAATTCTGCAAAGGAAGGAAACAAGAGAGGTGGTGAAAAGCTGAATACCACAACATCAAGCTTGGGCATCCATGGAAAAACTGTTAGGAAGGGGAAAAAAAGCATACACAGAAGTGGAGAGAGAGAGAGAGAGAGAGAGACCTTAATTAAATTGAGCATGATTATTGGGTTGCCATATCGATTCACCAGGTCCTCAAAGTGCAATCTAGTGGCCTCATAAGTAGGATCATACCTCTGTACTGCATAAAGGATATCGAGGATTTTAAAACTAATATATGTTGGTGCCAAAAAGACGGGAAATATCAACTTCCAATTTTCTGATCAACCTAGGTCGACCTGCATCAGATTCAGCTAAAGATCTCTAAACCGAAGAAGTTACAGGACATTTATCAGCTTTAAGCCCTTACATATGATATCTGGTTTCGGACTAAACTTTGAAGCTTCTTGTGACCAGAATAGGGGGATTGAACCACGCATCTGCACAACAGAGCTCATTTTTCCTTTGCATGGCCCAGCTCCTTCGTCAAGGACAACCTGCTCTGTTTCAACTTCATTTGCAACTCTCCCCCGATCATTCACTCCCCTCTTCAGGTAACTGAATACAATAAATACTAATAGGTCAAGTATCAACTCACCAACAACTAGAAACCAGTATACAATCATCAATGACAATTAATATTAGATGTGAGGACCAGTGACATGTCAAGCCCCTCCCAAAACAAAATGTAGAGCAAATAGAATGGCATTTAGTAAATGACCACAGGAGCTCTAAGAAATCTTATCTATCACGTATGTTAAAAAAAAAAAATTAAGTTTGAGGGCATCTGCATCTTATCTACAAATCAATTTCCGAGCTAAACGATGCCATAAATTCACAGAGCAGCAAAATCCATGCAACCTACCAACAGATATTTACAATTGCACTGATAAGATGCTTTTGACACATCTAGAGGTTCCTCCTTAAATCCCAGCACCTACTAAGATATTTGACAATGAATAGCAGATTCCAATTACCAGTCCATATTTGGTCACCAACCAATTGCTATCAAAATCAATTTGACAATTTTGAGATCAACCCAACGCCCACCACTAGTTAGTGTGATCCCACTTCCTGAGTTAAGGTTCTATAATCTCGCATAGGCTGGGAGTAGGCAACAATTCTTTTAACTCCCAAAACCACGCCGGAGTAAGTCTTATGAGCTGAACTGGAGGACTACGTATGATAAATTTAGGTAATATGGCCAAAAAGAGGGTCACAAAAGAGAAAGAAAACAATCAAGGACAGGAAAGTGGAGGATTGGCATCAAATAGGCCATGAGAAAAACATTGGGCAAGAAGATAGACCCATGGTGAGAAAAACATCTTGTAGTCCGCCATGGAAAGGTTTGATGAAATCAGCATGCGCTTAATTATGCATTTTCCCACATCCTTTTTCTTTACTTTGAATTCAATAGTAAATGGCATCAAAAGAGTGCACCATTTTGGGGCCATTTACAAAAGGAGCACAGTGGAAGACAAGAAGTTCACCAAAAAACAATGCAGAACAGACCTAACTTTCGACTAGAGGTGTCACAATGAACTGAAGACCCATTTATCAACCCATATATGATGAGTTGGGTCATATATGGGTTAGCTACATTTTGCTAGATGGGTTGATATGGGTTTGAGTACTAAAGTCCAACACAATGTGGGTTTTAGTGGGTCTAACGCCCAACCTACCTGCTGTCCCTCTTCACTTGTCTTTAGGTTTAGGTCGGAGGTTTTTGGGTGGGGCAACTTAATTTCTAGCTTTATCTTCTATTTATGATCTTTTTTATTTCAAAATTGAAAAATAGTAAAAGATTTATGATCTTTCAAGCTTTAGAAAATCGTGAAAATTAGTATATGATTTTACATGTCAATATTTACTGACTTATTCATTTTAAGAGATGTCGGATACTTCGCTATGAAACTCGAAAATTTTGCAATAAAGAAAAAATCGCAAACAAGTCCAAAATCTTATTTGGAACTTTATAAAACAGTTAAAAAATTTATCCTTTACACAAGACACGCAGAGCATAAAAGTTCTTGTTTTTAAATTTCCGTGTTTTAGTAATGCAAGTTGAGTTGGGTAGGGGTCACTCTATTTGTATTGTATATAAAAAGGTCAAAACAAATTAAATGGATTGATTTGGGTCGGACCATTTTCGACCAAACCCAAACCCGACCTAACCCACCCATTTGACGAGCCTACTTTCGATTGCCATATCCATAAGTAACCATAAAATTTCTAAAAACCTTTTGAAATTATTGTAGTCAAACATCCTAAAAGGAAACAAACATATAGTGCAAAATTAATGAAAAATGATCGAAGATAATGTTAATTAATCTTCATAAAGATTGCATTCATTAAATCATTGTTCCTTTCCCCATAAGACAAGGAAAATACGTTAATTGAGCTTTGGTAGTTAGATTATTCCACCAAAACGGAAAATTACACTTTGCATCCTACAATACAAGCATCACCACAATTTGCATCCCCTTTATATAATGTGATGATCACAGTTTAAGTCCTGGATTGAGTTATTTTAAAGCTTCCATCAGAGAAACTATAAAACTCTGGAATAAGCTATTTTAATGCTTCCATCAACGAAACTGTAAAACTTTCTACTTTCTCTGACCTACAGCTTTGATTGCCACTTGAAGACACCACTAGAGGAGAGATAAAGAGAGAGCCACAAAAAGATGGACTGAGCAAGTTAATCATCATATTTGGCAAAATAGATTCTTTTTATATTAGAAGGGTCTTGTTAACAAGACATTGCTATTAAAGGAATGTCCAATGATACACATTTCCAAAGCATGGAATATGTAAAAGCACCATTTTTACATTTCCAAAAAACATTTATACAAGTGCCCTAGCAGCAAGCATCGACATTTTCCACAGAAGAAAGCCTCCAACAGCTAGTAAGAGCAATCTTAAGCCTTCCACATATTAAAAACGACATTTTTAAAGTGGCTTTTCTTTTCGAAACAAGTGGAACTTTGCTGATGGATTATTAAATACAACCAATGGAAGATGCAAAGTGATTTTTCAAATACAAAATAAAGAATACATAATATAATTTCTATAACAGGAAAATAACTAAAGCGTATTTATGCCAATTACAAGACACAAAGTGTAATTTTCTGATATGTTAATCTGTAAAATGGACAATACCAAGGAATTAAGATCCACGATGGAAATCTGAGGACATGTAACTTATACATTTGTAGAGAGCGAGAGAGAGAGAGAGAGAGAGAGAGAGAGAGAGAGAGAGAGAGAAGAGAGAGGGTCGGAGGGAGGGATGGCGGAACGGAGGGAGTGAGGCTGGAGTTCTGCTACAGAAGCTATAGAAAGCTTCATCCTTGGAATAATTTCGGCAGACACAAGCTTGATACGTGGAACGCCAAAATGATAGTGGGACAGACGCTAACCTGGTTTCCTGTTCATCTCCCTTTTGTCTTTCCCTGAACAAATTACAGCAAAAAATTGCCTCCAGGTAAAACTGAATTATAACTTTTTATGGATCTAAGCATACATGTACCATGATGTACTTAACCAGGGGAAGCACGTTATATACTTGCAACAAAGATAAAGAACTGAAATGTACAAATTCTTCTGCACCTAATTGGCAACTAAGATGGAGTCAAACATCTGGAGCAACTGCTGACGAGAAAATTAGCTAAAGGTTCAATTTGGTGGAGCACCTACTAAAGTTTTAAGTGCTACCTTATCCCTTTACATGGCATTCACACATCTTTCCTCCTTTCTTAATGCAGCTTACTTCATCAACCTTAGTGACTCTAAAAGTATGTAATACCATAAAAACCCAACTCTCAATAAGCATGTAGCAAATATCTTTTCCCTCGGGTCATTGGCTATAGATTTCTATTTCTAGATAATGACATAATTCCAAGTCAACTAACTGGCAGACCACAGGATAAATGCTTAGAACTTCCAGGAGCACGTGTATCTTCTTCATAAGCTTACTGAGGCAAGAAAGTGCACTAAGAAGAATTTAAAAAACTCAGACCCAGACTATGCCATATTTACTTTGTCTACCCCGGTATTTAAAAACTAATGCTAGAAGAAAACTACAGACTATAATCTCTGAAAATTGTAGTTCCCCTCACAGTTCCTAAAGAAACAATAGACCTATAAGAACTGTACATTCATGGAGAGAAAATGCCAGGAGTAACTCGAGACTCCTGACATATCAACTGGGCACATGTCATAACAAAATAGTAGCCACATAGGACCCACTCTTATTGGTAGTTATACATCAGGTCATGGTACCTGACTCTCAATTAATATCTTCTTCAATGGAAGACAACTAAACCCTCCGTGATAACATTATCCAGTGTCACAAAAGACCCAACTCAGGCCCCAGAGTTCGATCAAGTAAGAGACTAATCATCACTAAGCCAATATAGTTTCAAGATTCAATTAATATGTATCATCCTATTCCTGTGTCCTGCCATAATATTTAATCGCTGTCAAATATGCATGAAATGCATGCATATCAATTAATTTATAAAATGGGAGACACAAAGGCAATTTTAGCAGTAACACAAAGGTAGAAACTCCTGTGAGAATAAGGGTGCACATGACAATCATTCTATGCCCGGGAACTATTTCTACTCAGAAATGATTCTGTTTTATTCTGTGCCCGGAAACAATTTCTGAGCATTTGAAGGCGTTTAGTAACTGTCCAAAATTTCTATTCCTAGGATAGAAAAGAACAGAAATACGTTTGGTAACTACACAAAATTTATTTTTATTAATAATATTTTAATAATATTTTAAATTGTTTAATATTTTTTTTCTTTTTATTTTCTTTCCACCCTTCCCTTCTTTGGCCATGGCCGGTCGTCGGCGCCGGCGACCGGCCACAGGCCAGGGCGTCGCGGCCCTCGCAGCCGCAATTGCCGCTTGCCTCACCGCCGGCCTCGCCCAGATCAGGCGAGGTCGAGCCTCGCCATCGGTCGCGACGGCGAGGTCGAGCCTCGCCGTGGGTCGCGACGGAGAGGTCGGCTCGCCGTGGGTCACGACGGCGAGGCTCGGCTCGGCCGATCCGGGCGAGGCCGAGCCTCGCCGTCGCGACCCACAAATGGGCCGACCTCGCTGCCGGGGTCGCGACGGCGAGGCTCGGCCTCGCCCAGATCGGGCGAGGCCGAGCCTCGTCATGATCGACGGCGAGCCACCTCGCCCAGGCGGCGAGGGTCCAGCCCTCACCCTCGCCGGCGAGGGCCGTGACGCCCTCGTCGGCCCTGGGCTGTGGCCGATCGCCGGCGGCCGGAGAACAACACAAAGAAGAAAAGAAAAAAAAGAAAAAGAAGAAAAAGAACTCATTCTCAAAATTGTGCCAAGAAACAAGAAGCAACTTTTTTTTACTTGTTTCTCTTCCAAAACTGTTTCTGGGCACAAATTTTTGCAAAAATGTGCCCGGGAACAAAAAGTTTACCAAACGCATTTCTGTTCCCAAACTATTTCTGGGAACAAAAGAACGAAATTTTCACTGTTTGGCACGTTACCAAACGGGCCCTAAATATCTTGTGAGTAAATAGACGTATTTAATTTCATATATTGACTGCTCATATTAAAATAACGAGAAACACAACCTTCTAGTTAAGTCCAAAAATAGTAAAGAATCAAACATCGTACCAATAAAGCCACTGAATATAAAAAGATAAATCAACATACCGTGTCCCAGCAAAGTGTCGTGATCGTCTAGAGATAAGTGAAACGCTAAAATCCCTTCCAAAAATTGAAAGCCTCATCTGTCATTACGAGGTGACAGACATGATCACAAAAGTGAAAGAAGCAGATATAACAGCAAGACATCCTACAAAGTTAAAGTTGACACAACAAGGAATCTTTTCTGGGGAAAAGAAATGCAATACAATGCTCTTGTGTACTAAATTCGACAGGAGCATAGAAAAAAATGGTGTCACCTATAAGGTAATAAACAAATGGCTTATGAGTGAATCGGTAGAAATCACAACAAATATAATGGAAACAACTCGTATAAGTAAAGAGTCATCCTTAAGGAGTTTTACACGCCCCATAACTTAGTAACTAGATCGCCCTCTAAGATCCTCTAGATTGACGCAAATTGTTTCTTTCATCGGTTGCTATGTGCAACATCATATTGGAACAAACATTGCCTACTAAGAGATGCATGCTAGTCAAGATGATGACTCTTCCAACACTAATTGGGTCAACTCCAAGCCTATTCCTTCTGCTCCTTTCAAGCCATAAGATCAACAGATCAGACAAGAGAGCTTTCTCATTCGAAAGACAAATACAAAAAAAAAAAAATCCAAGGTGCATAAGTTTAGAAAAGCGAACACCATCACAAACAAAGCACATTAACAATGTCAGTGTTCTATTGGTTTCAGACTTGTTGGATTTGATAAAAGAAACCAGGGCTTTGCACCAAGAATGCATCAGACCTATATATAAGATCTCCATGTTTCTTCATCAAGAGACAGCAGTAGCAAAGACTGTCTGTCAGGATCTGGAAAAATAAAAAGAAAGGAAAAGAACCTCCATGCATTTAACCATTTAGACATTTGTGTGGCCATGCAGCATGCTCTAAAGGAAACGAAATGCAGATTCATACAAGAAAAGGATGAGAGAGAGAGAGAGAGAGAGAGAGAGAGAGAGAGAGAGAGAGAGAGAGAGAGACCTGCTTAAAGTGCCCATGAACGAGTGCGATTGTCCAAATGGTATTATTGCATCTTGACCGTATGGCTTTTGTTAAATAGGCATTCCAAACAAACATATTATCATATGGCGTCCTTTCCTCACCACTCAATGACACATTTTTTTGCAAACTTTGCATTATAGGGTATGTATAACTATAGAAAAAATCTTTTGTCATGTCCACGCTGGATAAAAGTTTTTTGTACCTGCAGTTACCATAAAGTACAAGATATGAGTTTATACATCTTTGATCAGTGAAATGAAAAATGCAGCAAACCAAATCAAATTTGAACTCAAGCCATCATATTGATAGCTCGAACCTTCAGACACATAAATGAAAAGCAGAACTAGAAAATAGAAGTAAATCACAGCTCGCCAATAGTTTATGCAAAACCAATACAAGGAAGATAAAAGAGCAAGTAAATCACAGCTGGCCAAAAAGAAATGTTAAATCACAGAAGAACGTACCTTAGCTCGGTCTTAGAAGTCGCTAAATCACTCTGAACGGAGCTATGTGGAATAGTTATCAGCTGGCTCTCGTCTATGCTATAAATTGCATGACCACACACGCACCCAATTTGCCTACGCTTGGTAACAAGAATCAAGTAATACGACTCCAAAAATTTGATGCACCCTGAATACCCAAAAGAGGAGAGAGGTTACGCCACCGAAGCCATCAAAGATTAGAATCTGACTCCATTGCAATAAAGACCACCAAAAGACAGAGCTTCCGCGGAAAGAAGCGACCAACCTGCAATCCCATAGAACTTCCCAGAGAAAGTGAGCCCGCCGATCGAGCGATTGCCCTCGCTAATCCGCTGGAGCAAGTTCTTGATCTCCAGGGGAGAGTACACGACGGGGTCTTCGCTAATGTTGAGATCAGACGGCTCAGAACGGTCGATCTTCAGCACCCGGAACAGCCTCTTCTGGCGATCACTCCCAACCAAATAATACCTCTGCATCACCGGCGTAAATCAACGAATCAAATATGAAAAACCAATTCGAAAATTTGGGGTGGAAACAGAAAATTAAAACATCATCAGGAAAATAACCGATTGCTCTTGGCTCTCTCTACAGTGCCGAATTCCTCATCACACGCGACGTCCATCGGCTAAGATCGACGGCAAAAAGCTAAAGCGATTCGCAGTAAGCCTAACGAGGGAAATGAAACGAAAACGAAAGGGAGATCGATGAATCGATACCGCTCGGGTTTCGTAGAGCCTGAACTTCTCGAGCGAGTAGGAGCTGGGGTCGGAGTCGGGATCGTTGAACGGGTGGATCTTCGCGGACGAGAGGGCGAAGGATTGGTCGGTCTTCGCCATTGCAAAGCGGCGAGGCTCCGCAGCGGCGGCGGCGGCGGCGGCGACGGGCGGAGGACGGGGCTTTTTTTTTTTTTTTTTGATCGGTGGTTTTTTGATAACTTTTTTGCGTTCGTCGAGGGTTCGTTCCTCCCCTTCCGGAACCCGAATCGAATCGGACCCGGTTTAAGGAGAGATGGATAAGTACCGGTCGAATTTAATCCGGGGCAAATTACATATTGACCCCCGAGTTTTAGGGGTTATTGCCAATTGGCCCCGGATGTTTCAATTTTTACAATTTGCACTGCATTTTAGAAACTGATTGCAATATACCTCCTAACGTTGACTCCGACCAAATTTTTGCTCTGAGCTACGATCACGTGATGGTAGGGTGAGCGCGCGCTAGGTTGAGTTAAACTTAGGAGTTGGCAAGAACCGACCTGTTCGGGACAGTTCCAAGCCGATTCTAGGGAGAATCCGTTTAGTTTTCATTTCAAGCCGGAGCCATCAGTTTTTTTTCTGAGAAACGATCCAACTAGGCTGGTTTTTAGGTTGAAATGGTTTTGAAGTCTCTTTTGGGAAAAAAAGATTACTTTGCAACCGTCAAGATTTGAGCCATTATTTTTCAATATGATCAAAGAATCACATAACTACTTGGCCAAAGAATGTTTTGGTAATAAAATAGGGCAACTTTTACATTTTGATAGAAAATTTTGGAAAAGGCAATTCCACAATCAACTGGTTCGATTTCTGATTTCAATCTTTTGGCACCAAAGATCACAAAGTTGGTTCCCGCCAAGAACCAACCCACTTTGAATCCGATTACCCTTACGTGACGGCGTATAATAGATTATGGAAGGTAAATTTGTCATACATCAAAAGGTATAAAAATAATTCAAAAAGTATATTATATGATCGACTAAATTCGGGTGAGAATTTACTCAGAATCAATGTTAGATACACATCAATATACAATTGTGAAGTATATTTATTCAGTAGTCTCTATATATTTTTATCACGAATATCAAAATGATATTTGATCAATTGCCTTCCATAGCATGTCACGTGGTCAAATATGTGAGAAATTTTTTGCTGGGGTCAACTCTAGAGGTCAGAATCAATGTTAGATACACATCGATATACGTGGTGGCAAGGCTGGCCACCACGTCACGGTGGTTGCCGCCTTGCTGGTGGTCGCCATCGTCTAAGGTCCGCAACCGCCTTGCCGTGGCCACCTACGAAGGGATGAGCACCGTGAGGCGGTGGCCACCTAAAGAGGCGACGACAAAAGTGAAGGCGACCATCTTGCCGAAGTGGTCGTTTTTAGAAACTCGTGAGGTGAAGAACTTAAGATGATGACCAGTGGAGTGGTCCTTTTACTAAATAAATTCCTCTATTTATCATTTGTCATCCAACGGTTGAGATCAGTCACGATAACTTCGCTCTGCAATGGAGCATGACACCGTAGAAAATTCCTAAAAATGAGAGATAATGTTACTATTATATTATATGATCGGGCAATATCCAAATTGATTTTTGACATTTTTGTTATCTATTGGATTCAAATCCTGCGAGGACACGCTATGTGTCTTTTCTGACCGGAGACATCTGGAAAAATTTTCATAAAAATTTTAAACGCCGATACGTAAGTTCACGAATAATTCTTTCGTAATTTTTTTCGAAATGTTAACACAGTATTAAATTTTCGTAAAAAAAAAGCGCGAAAACATAAGTACATTTTTCATCTCCTAGACGGAAAAACCGGTAAAAGAAATGTGTGGTCTGTCGTCAGTTATATATCATCAGCGAGAGAGAAAGAGAGCGTTGAAACGACTTCTCGGACAGATAAGGCGGGAGGAACAGAAGGAGGACCGGCCTGGGCTTTTGATTCCATGCTGGACAGGGAGAACAGAAGATGGCAAAACTCCCATCAGTTGCTTCCATCAATCTGAGTGTGCTGCTTCCTCCACCATCATTGCCACTTCCCTCGCTTCTCACTCTCAAATCCCCTCCCAACCCCATCAAGTCTAACAAGGAGCAGAGACAAGTAGCAACTTCCGCATCGAGATCCGGCAGAGTCTCGCTGAATTCGGTATGCTCTTCTTGCTTGCTATCTGTTCTTGCTGTTCCAAGATCTCGAGCTATTCGAGAAGACAAGATCTCCTTGTTTGTATACGTTGCTGCGATGTCAGAGAAACGGACCTTGGTCTTTGGTGTCCGAGGAACGGATTGGATGCGCGGCAGATTCGGGTTCTTTTTCTTTAAAGATGCTGTTCTGCTTTTAACATCTGCACTGTTATTTCATTTTCACCACTAAGAGGGCCTATCTACGCTTGAAGTACTATTTCTATGTTCTTCTGATGATGTGCTTGTTTCACCGTGTTGGGTCATGGGATTCAACAGACTAGACAATTGAAGCATATTAGGCAGTCATTGATCGAGTCCGAGTAACAAGTTCTGTTTTTCTTACTCTGTCCGACTCATACGGTAATTCTTTGCAGATCCTCAAAAGCTGCAAAACGTGCAGCGGAAAAGGTGCAATAGAGTGTCCTGGATGTAAGGTATTGATGGACATTTCTTCGCTCTTCCTCTCTTTCCTTCCGTTATACTTCTCATTATTCGTCGCTTTTTTTCCTTCCATTTCAGTTATTTTCTTTTCTTTTCATGACTCACATTCGTAGATCGCTTCGCAGCTTTTGCATTTTACTTTGAACAGAGATTATACTAAGTAGCAGCAAGTTGGCACAAATAGCAGGTTACCTCGCAGGTCAATTGAACTCGACAGGGTCTTGATCGTTTTGCTCGCTCTTGCTTTCACTCCTATATAGGTTTTGAATGCTATGCTGATGGCTTGAGAGACCAACTTAAAACCTTCACAAGATGGTGTCTACATGGCAAGATGGAACAGCCTCAGGCTTCAAGAGAAGCTAATTTAAGTGAATAGAGCAAATTGCTAGAACATCTTGATAGGCTAGCTAGATGCCTCCTAAACATACTTGACCATATTATCAATTCTGAACCGGCTAATTACATCTCTGTTCAAACTTCAAACCACGGATGCAATTTTTAAACTAAGACATAAACGAGGATCTTTTGATACTAAACTAGCACTTGAGATATACAATGGAAGTAAAAGGTTGCTGCCTCTTTGTTGGAGTGTCCCGGAGGGAATCTGAAACTTAGAAAGCAAGATACATCAAACCCATTGGTTTTGAAGAATCTTCCTGAAGTGGTTTTGCTTGTCAGGTGAACTTGGACTACATATTTGCTTTCAGACTAAAAGTGCAAAAGGTCCCATTCGCTGGCCGATCAACAACTAAGCCGTACCCTTTTTCGCTTATTCGGTAGACACAACATCCAGAGGATTTACATTTGAGCATGTCCACTATTAAGCTCCATGTCCCTATAGTAATTAACTGAAGTCGAAATTCAAGGACTTGTTTCTCATGGTGGGATAGTTCACCCATTCACTACTTAAATCGCTTTTAGATCTGCTAATGAACTCTCTTACGTAGGGAACTGGGAAAAACAAGAAGAATGGAAACATTTTCGAACGGTGGAAGTGAGTTTCTTTCGTTGCCAAGTGAAAATTTTCGACACTATTTCTATTAGTATCTTCCATGAGCATAAAATTTTTTTCCTGCTTGATGCAGATGCTTTGAATGTCAAGGATTTGGGCTGAAGGGCTGCCCCAATTGTGGAAAAGGAGGCCTCACGCCAGAGCAAAGAGGCGAGAGATAGTCAGTCTTTGGAAGAACATCTTGTTGACCACCTTGTATCTTCAATTCCTATATTGCTACTCGAACTTGATCTTTAGATTTTGAGTTCATTCCTAGCAGTTCAGGTGAATGAAAGTGTGTGTCAATTTTCTTCCACGTAAGTCACAGTTTTCTGTCTTAACACTGTAAGAATTTCTTCTATTGTTGCTGTCACCATTAGAGCCATTGACTCCTTTGGAGATGCTCTTGCAAGATGATAAAGAACAAATATAACACGACGAAGTATCGAAGGTCCTAGAGGTGGTGAGAGCCAGTTTGTGCCCTTTGTCAAGATTTTCTAACAGAATGATTTTATGCTTTATAAACGTCAAATGGTCAACATAAGACTGAAGAGATTTAGAACTCTTTACAAAAATCGATGTTTATGGGAAGTTAGATTACCATTGTACTTAAGGCTATCTGGAGTAATCTCTTGTTCATTGTCAAGTGAATACGTTCATAATGATTGCACAACTTTGACAGAGCAGAAACATTAAAGGGATAGTAAGTGCAGAATAATACTTAACAGGCTACTCCATCTCGGTTATCCTCAAGATCTTAATTAGAGTTTCTATACAAAGATCAACCACGTTTGCACTAAAATATGCTGAGCCTTCATTTTTAACTGCAAGTGATTGAAGTCCCATCAGCGAGGTGAAAGGTGCAACCTTTCAAAATGATGCAGCAGTTGCACTTGGGACTGAGCTTTTATCACCTGCGAATGGGCATGTCATGTACACGACATCGAAGCAATACTGAGGACAAACTTGGGCACTCACAGATCCATGTTTCGCTGACTAGAATTGCACTTGATGACCAGGAACAGGAGACAAATTTCAGGTAAATGAGTGTTTTTGAGAAGAAATTTGAACCACCTTCAGATGTTTTGATCTCTTGGAAGTACTTTTGCATGAGTTCACCGTTCCACTGTTTACTTTGATACAAGTTTCGTGCTAGATGGTCAGATCCTTAAACCATCCAATTGCTAGAGATGTAGCCGAACTGATCTAACCTTGGAGTAGCAAGCGTGATTCGTGAATATATGAGAACTGAAGTTAACTGAATATGACTATGGGCCATGCTAGCTTTATAGACTTAAGTGGTTATGTGGTTCTTGTATATATAGGAATATAAGAATGCATTGACGACACAATGGATCCACTCGCACAATACGCCATTCGCATTATTAATTGAAACTTAACTATTCACATTGTGCTTGAAGTCTATCATGGGGGAATGAAGAATATGGACATTCATGTTCTGTGTAAAATCATACGCAGTGATTTAAAGCTCAAATAAGATATGGCAATCCAGGTCAAGGAGAATTAATCTTCATATACAGCATTAAAAGGGTCGCCTATGGTTCAAAAATCGAAAACCTGATGGTGGTACACCGTGATAGTATAATCTGATGAAGCCGGTTTCTTGGCAAAGATTTCAAGATAATAGTTCATGACAGTTCCATATACATACAACGACTATCAAAGAAAAGAAACCAAAATAAAGTTTCTTAAGCCATTGAGTTTACCGGGGAAAGACAATCCAGTAGAGGGTCCTCATTGAGAGATAACCCCATGTTATGGTTGTAGCGTTTTCAGTTAATCATCAAGAAGCTGCTAAAGAATAAGGTCATCAGAACAGTGTTTCAAGGATATTCAACAAGATATTGACATTTTTATCTAGTTAATTCAAGTGAACACATTTTCGAAAGTTGAGTTCCTCTTTAACCAAGAGATCATGTCACCTACATGTTTATCAGGCCGCTGTCAAAGGATTTCGTCAGAGGAGCTGCCAAAGTGTCAAAGTGGACAGAGGCTTAATTCACACCAGAACAGGGATGCGAAGGATGTGAGATGTCTGAACAGAATTACTCATTTTCCCTAATGGACAAAGATGATCCAATGTCCAGATCCTGTAGATTCTTTCAAGTACATTCAGTCCTTTGGGGACACGCAAAAAAAGCTTAATAGACTGATAACTTCATCCTAGGGATGAAGCTTAAGTCCAAACTAATTCACATATTCAGTTAAATCTATCTTCACAGAAAATCATAACCAATTGAGTTACGAACCAAGCGGATATATCAACCGTTTCATCCCTCGTCAATTTTCCTATGTGGGATTTCTCGTATTACTAAAAACCTAACCCATGCACATTAACACACACCATACACATTCGACTGCTAACTTGGTTTTTAACAGCTGACTCTTTCTTATGAAAGAGTGACTGGTAAATGAGGAATAACCATCTCTCACTTGGGAATGCGTAGGAGTTTTGAATAATACACGTACATTTTAAAAACATTTTCGGTATAATCATCACATCATTGAAGCCTTCAATCGTATGCCAGAAAATGCCATGAGGAACTGAAACATATGGTCATCGGAAAGTGTTGATGCTTGATAGTCCTTCAGGTGATAATAGCAAATTCGACTCATATAAGGACTTGGACTCTAAATTGGCAACAGACGAAGCCAAGAAACGGTCATGGAAATCGCTCAGTCCTGGTACGCTCGCCTTACGCAAACATATGTACAAAACATTACAGAACAGAGCACGAAAAAAGAAATCATCAGAAACCCAAGCAAGTGACTGACAATATTTAAAGACAACGCAGTCTTCTTTTATTTTTTGCGATCTTTATTCAAACTTAGATACAAAGTTCGATAGGATAAAATGCACACAGCATTTTGAGAAGACTTCCAATTTCTTCAACTGCAAGAAACCGATGTGCCATCAGTCAGGTGAAGAGTGCAGCCTTTCGGAGAAAGGCAGCAGTTGCACTTAGGACTCAATTGCTTATCGCCGGTGGACGGGCACGTCATATAGTCCACATCCAAGCAGTATTGTGGACAAACTACAGCGCTCACCAACGTCGTCCCGGGATTCATTTCCAGTAGAAGTGCACCTATCAAGAAACAAAGAAAAAAATGAGGACTTTATCGCCATTTTTGTTTTCTTTAATCTCGAAGAAAGGTTTCTTTACTTAAAGCGATCACTGATTTGAAGGCATCGAGGTCGCGGAGCTAAGATACGTGCGCACAAAAAGATCGGGGGATGGATTAACAATGGTAAGACTCACCACAGAGGAAGAGAAGCACCAGACAACATGTATTGCTCCGAGCCATGATGTTCCTGATGAGTTTTCTGATAGCACTTCCCTGGGGTCGTGCTTTTATAGCCAAAATGAAAACCGAAAGTCAGATTCTGATTCGTAGATCCATATAGTAATGTTTTCCATTGCATAACTTCAGCCGTACTGTGCTCGAAGTCGGTGCAAGTAAGAACATAGACTAGACTTTTTTTGCTTCATCATCGATGTTTGAACGGGAGATGAGATGGCAACTGCAAGTCAACTGGAGTTGTTTGACTTTCTAATGTTCGTTCAAAACACGCTATTGAATGAAGGTAGTCTTATCATTCCAATTGTTTCTCACAGTTCAAGTGTTCAAGAAGAAAACAATGGCTGTTCGCGAGTCTGGATTGGGTCGGTCCAGCACTTAACCCTAGGACCAACCCGCATAGTGTTGATCCCCAATTTTTGGGATCGGGACTGACTCTGCTGAGCCTGAGACCGAGGACTAGATTGACCTTGTGGATACATTCTGGACCAACCTGTTCTTTTTTTGTATTCGTTGAAAGGACATACTCTTTGAAACTTCAAAGCTGTTGACATCAGAATAAAAATGTGTTCATGTTTTACGTAATATCAATAATAAGTGGCATTTCTCATTTTGAATGAGTCTTTAAATCTGCTAGAGAAAGAGCTGGTGAGATTGTCAAATTTATCTATGTGAGTTGAATTAAGAGCCCATAGTGCCACACGATTAGATCCACAAATTTATCGTCTTTGTTTCGAGCATGAGAAGGGAGATTTTGATATTACATATTCTGATAGGGACCCTAGCTACAAACCCCGGTTTTGTTATCGTTATTCCAAATGTTAAAATGTCCGTTCAAATTAATGGTATCTATGTTGAAGCATTAAGCATTAATAAAAAGAAATTGTTACTGTGATTGTCTATGAAGATGCAAAATGAATGTGGCCTAGGGCTGGGCACTTTAGGTTATATGCTTAGGGTTCGGAAAAAAAAATTTCAAGGTTAATTTGGTCTCAGAACCAAGGACCAACCAGCATAGTATAAGTTCTAGCGGCCTTAGAATCAGGGACCAGCCTGGTTCCCAGGGAATCGGACCAGCCTGGTTCCCAGGGAATCGAACCAGGACCAACTGGGTTAGGTCGATCCACGGTCAACTCTGGACCAATGCTCACCCATGGTTTGAGTGGAACTCGAATGCCAAAACTCTGGTTCACTTCAGATCCTAATCATAGTGTGAGCTAGTGAAGAGTCCAGGGTTTACTCCTGAACATCCTAAAATTAACAAATTTGACTTATAACATATCTAAAAATTAAATATTTGTATTTTCACCAAAATATGAACGATTTAATTAATAATAAAAAGGTAAAACATAATACTTCGAGGACGATGATGAATCAAATGCTACAATTTTATTTCAACCTTTGGACTTTCGTCAAAAAAATGCTGTGAGGACCATGCTTGTTGTTAATATAAATAATAACAACATGATATAGCAAAATTGACGTGATCGTAATACCGTCAAGTAATTACCAACTTCTCGCATAAATATTTTATTTTCAAAAATCGAACTCAAATCTCCCTCATTTGATAATTAATTAAATTTCTTTCATAAATTAATTTACATCTTCAAATTTTCTCTCTCTCAATGCATTGATTTGATATATTTCTACACGCATGTGCATGAGTTTGTTTGTGAGATTATTTTAATAGATCGTAATAAGTATGGTTTTGTAAAGCTCTATTAGATTGATGCATGAAGTTAAGAATTTATCAATTTTTTTTTTCATATGAAAGGGAAACTTAACAAGAAGTATGAGTAACTTAGGTAAGAGGAAACTAACATTGTCCCCCAAAATTAAGTGTCTAACCCAGCTTATAAATGTGAAGTATAATGCCATAAAATCCCTTAAAATAACCTCGAATTTGCTTGTAAATACGTGAAATTAAATTTGTATTACATTTGTGTAATTAAAGATGTCACTTGGATAGTATTTCCTTTGAACTGCAAGTGATTGAAGTCCTGTTAGCAGGTGCACTCGGGACCGAGCTGCTGATCACCCGTAATTGGGCATGTTGTGTTGACAACATCAAACCGATACTGAGGATAAACTTGGGCACTCACAGCTTCATGATTTCCGCCAACTCGAATTGCTCCCGATGACCAAGAACAGGAGACAAATTTGAGGTAAATGAGAGTGTATTAGAGAAGAAATTCGAATCGCCTTCAGATGCTTTGCTCTCTTGAAGTACTTTTGTTGTAGTTCTCCGTTCCACTGTTTATTTTGATGAAAGTTCCGTGCTGGATTGTCAGTTTTAAACCATCAAATTGCTAGAGATGTAGCAGTACAGATTCCATCGCAGAGTAGAAAGCTTGATCCATGAATGTAAAGAGAACTGAAGTTTACCGGACATGAGCAGGAGAACCATGGCAGAAGATTTGCTATGAGCCATGCTGGCTTTATAGGACTCAAATGGTCATCTGGTTCTTGCATTTACAGTACAATAATCACGCATTGACGACAAAATGGATCCCCTCGCACGATACGCCATTCGCGTTTTCGATTGAAACTTAACTATTCACGTTGTGCTTAAAGTCAAATATGGGGGTTGGACTTTCATGTTCTGGGCAAAGTCAAGGGATCCAAAGCTTAAATAGGATATGGCAATCCAAGTCAAGGAGAATTAATCTTCATATACTGCATCCTTTGAATGGTACCCTTCAGTTCCCAATTTTTTAATTATCTTCAGAAGTCAAAAACCCGACGGTGCTACACATTTGTAGTATAATCCGACGAGGCCGATTTCTTGGCAAATATATGTACAAAAATAAAAAAAATAACAGAACAAAGCACGAAGGAAGACAATATCAGAACCCAAGTGAGCGAACGATGATATTTAAAGACAACGAAGTCTTGACTTATTTATTGCGATCTTTATTCAATTTCAGGTGCAAAGTCCAATCCGATGAACTGCACATGGACTTTTTTGACAGACTTCAATTTCTTCAACCGCAAGAAACTGACGTGCCGTCGGTCAGGTGAAGAGTGCAGCCTTCCGGAGCGAGGCAGCAGTTGCACTGGGGACTCAGGTGCTCATCGCCAGTGGATGGGCATGTCATATAGTCCACATCCAAGCAGACCAGTGGACAAGCAACGGCGCTCATCACCATCGTCCCGGGATTCATTTCCAGTAGAAGTGCACCTATCAAGAAACAAAGAAGGAAAATGAGGATTTCATTCCCACTTTTTTTCATTCAATCTCGAAGAAGGTTCGTTTACTTGATACAATCACCGATTTGAAGGCATAGGGGTCGCGGAGCCGAGGTGCGTGTGTTGGAAAAATATGCTCCTCCGAATTGTAGAAGAAAAGAAACTTCAACTTCAAATGGGATGAACAACGAAGTCAGACTTTGAGGCGTGATATTCACTTTACGTAAGGAATTATTTGCCCCACGAAGTTGCTAATGGTCACCGGTAAATTTCCTCCAGGATACAACAAAGTCTCGATTGAGAATACCGAATAGCAATTTTGGTATATCTCCAGGGTTTCTCTAGGAAAACAATTAGAAAAGATGGCTGTATATCTCTTGGAAGAAATGGAAAAAATGGTTGTTCTTCTTAATGAACAAAAACGTTGAAATATTTATACGTTGAACAAATACAACCTTTCGAATGTAAAGAAGTTATGTCTGAACAGACACAACCTTTCAAAGGTTATGAGAGAGCCTAATTACCATTAGGCAGAAAATAAAAATTCGAAATTAAATTATTAAAAAATAACTGCCACTCTATTGCGAACAGTCACACTGTTTCAATATGATAAAACAGTTATTTTATAATAATAAATTCGAGATTTAATAAATAAATAAAAATGATCGTTGATTAGTGCCAAATCTCGTCCACGTGCACACTCACATCCTTTCGATGTGGGACAAGGCATCTCATTGTTTGTTTTACAAACAAACTACCAACAATCCCCCACTTTGTTTGTAAAACAAAATTGAAATAAAACGTTAAAAATATACAGCCAAAATTTCTGTGAGATTAATATACATAAATAAAGGTCTCTTTCGAGTTAAACCTTTACTTAGTGCAAGTATCTCAAAACTCTATCAAAGTGACAAGTAGCTCGGCTTTAAACTTGTACTTTTAAATAATAGAATCGGACATACCACACATATAATAACCTCTTGATTCAGTGAGAAGTTCTATATTACTCAGCACTATTATGGCCATGTGCTTGTACCTGTTTCATGAGCTCTCTAGAAAGCAACCCCAACTTTCGTAAGAAGCGGCACCACTTCTAAGCTCATATAGGTGAAGTATCTTTCATGTGTTTCTGTTACTAATAACACAATTGAACCACACTTCATTAAGAATTTAATTCAACCTACAAACGTAACAGAAGATATTGACTTCTCATGTCAAGGCTCATGTCAGTATCAAACAATCACTTAGTAACTTGTTTTTACCCATTAAACCTTGTAACTAGTGATATTCTAGAAAAAGGTCGGGTTGCCATTCTGGTGATTTTAATTAAAGGGTTTCAGCCTCGTTTCTTGTGAGATCATATTTACCATGTCTCTTGGTAAAGCCTTTATCAAGGAATCAGCTAGATTATTGTTTGACCTCACGTAGACAATTGTTACGGTACCATCTTTAATCAATTGTCTCACATACTCATGCCTTAGGTTAATATGTCTAGACTTATCATTATAAGTGCTATTATAAGCTCCTGCCAAAATAGCCTAACTGTCACAATCAATAGAAATATGAGGCATAGGACTAGGTCATAATTTGATATCCAACAACAAATTCCTAATCCATTCAGCCTCTTTCTCAGTTGTTACTAAAGTAACAATTCAAATTCTATAGTTGAGTGAGTTATACACATTTGTTTCTTGCTCATCTAAGAAACAGCACACCCATCAAATGCGAAAATCCACCTAATAGTAGATTGTTTATCACCCACGCTTGTAATCCAATTAGTATCGATGTATCCTCCTAATACAACCGAATAATTATTATAGAACAGTCCCAAACTTTTTGTTCTCTATAATAACAAAAAATTCGGGTAATAGCTTTCCAATGTTCTATACTTGGATTACAAATATACGTACTCAACTTACACACGAAATAAGCAATATCAGGTCTAATAC